ATATATATATATAATATATAGACAAAGACAAACCAAATATTGGCATACAGTAGGTATTAATAGTGACTATTCTACCATATGGAAAATAATTCAGCAATACTAGCATAGAGTCAAGCAGCTAAAAATTGATAAAAATGGAGGGGTAGGAAAGGAAAAAATGAAGTAAAATTTGAAAATGAAAAAATGTGAAGGGCTCACGATTTAGCTCAGTGGCACTGCACTTGCCTCACAAGCACAAGGTCCTGAGTTTGATCTCCAGTACCAGTTAAAAAAAAAAAAAGATGAGAAAACTCAAATTGAAGCATTAAAAAAGTAAAATTAAGTAAAAGTTGCAGAAAAAAAAAAAAGCAAAAGATAGGAAAAGAGAAAAAAATCCCATGTGTTTGAATAAGCATTTGTTTGTTCGTTTGTTTTTCTCTAGGGCCTGTTAGAATCTAACAAATATAGGTGAGGGATAGTGAGTTATAACTTGGGCCTATTTTTTTCATGCCCAGTTTTTGCTCTATCAGTACTGAGTCCTGCCCAACCTTTTCCAAAGCGCCTGATCAGTCAGTGGTGTGGCATGTACTTTAGGGCTGTATTCACTATAGCGCTTCTCATTTCAAGTCATTTCTGTCTCTGACTAGCTTTATGGCCCATGGCTTCCCTTGCTCTTGGGCTCCTCTCTCCGTATATCCCAGAATGTGGCAAGTGTTAAAACCTACGCATGTCCCTGATCGTATTGGCATGTGGAAAAAGCAAGCAGACCACTGAGCTCTGTATTGAACATAGGCAGCCAGGGGACTGAGCACTCTGTTGGACTTAATGTTAGAACTTTCAGACCCAGTCTCTTCAGAAAACCATAGGACTGGCCTAGATTCTCCCCACAAACAGTGGGACTGCTTGTGTCCCTCACAACTTGAGCTTGCTGCTGCTTGAAATTCTCAGGGGATCTGCAACTGGCCTACCCCTTCTCTGTTACTGTCTCTTATGGCCGTCTCCCTTCCAGTAGCTGTAGTAATGTGACCCCAGAGATCTTGGAAGTGTAGTTACTCTGTGACTTCTGATTTGTGGAACAGCTTATACTTAGTAAATCCCTTCCCAAAATGGTTTCTAATTATATCTCTGCCAAATACAGCTGATACTGCAGTAGATTTCTTCTCCAACTCTAGCCTGCCTTGCAGGAGTCACATTCAGAATAAAACCACATACTATTTGCAACTTATAATAACTATGGGTTTTTCTTGGGGCTTCCAGTCTGGTCTGTTACTTCCCCCTGGCATTGCTGCCCTTCTTTGGGCTTATTTTGTGTTTGTAAATACTGTTCTAGACTGTTTTATTCTTTTTTCTGCATTTTCTTCAGTTTCTCTGTGGTTTCTAGTTTCCTGTGAATTTTTTTTTTTGTACTGGGGATTGAACTCGGGTCCTTGCGCTTGCGAGGCAGGCCACCGAACCGCTGAGCTAAATCCCTCTTTTTTAAAAGAATAAATTTTATTTTATGTTGTTGCATTCCCCCCCTCAAGCCCCCTTTCCTCCCTATGTATAAAAGCTTTGTTTCCATTTTTTCCTTCTATTTTTACTTTTTTTTCTTGCCCTTCCCTTCTCCATCCCTTTCTCCTTGTTCCCCTTCCATTTGAACATTTTCTTTCCATTTCCCAACATCTATTATACATTTCAGTCCTTATTTCCACTTTCAGTTTCTCACACCAGAGAAACTTTATTTATTTATATAATTATAGACATTCAGCACATTCCATTAAAAAAACAAAAAAAAAAAAAGAGAAAAGAATAATATCCAGATAACAGCAAAGTTCTGTTGCTGTTGTGGTACCTGGCACATTTTATTAGCATCTTAATCATCATCTGGAAAGAGAACATTCTGAGTAGTGTCTTTAAAAAATAGCTCTGACAAAGCATGGTCACTACTACGTATCATAAAGCAGGTACAAGATATTTTACATTCACAGAGGTATGATACAGTCTTTATTTTTTGTTTTTGTTTGACTTGGTTTGGTTTGGTTTGGTACCTGGGATTGAATTCAGGTCCTTGCATTTGCAAGGCAGATGGTGGAGCCACTGAGCTAAATCCCC